TCGGCTCGGGCGTCTTCTTTTCCCATGCTATTTAAGCGAATGAAAGCCAAGCAGCCTTCGTTGATTACATTATTTTACAAGTTTTGAATTTCTTCTAAAGGAGCTGGCAAGAACACGTCCGCCTTCGGCGAAGGCCAGGTTATAGTCAGGTTATAGTCCCTCATTTTGATTATTGCTCAACAGTTTGGCACTTTTGCGGTGCAAACAACAGGGACAAAATAGAAGCTCTTAACGAAAGGATTCTGAGATTCAGTCTAAACGATTTTGAATCGCCTTATAATGTGCTGCTAGACAGGGTAAACTGTCTCCAACTTCATGATCATCGCATCTGTAAATTCTTTACTATTTTGTACAATAGTCTATTTTTCACTAGCTATCCGGCCTATATGAGAAACATGTTCTCGTTCCGTTCTACTTCATACAATATCCGTGGAAACTATATGCTGGAAATGCCCAAACCCAAAACTACAACTTTTGGTCTCCACTCCTTTACTTATCTGGCAACAAAAGGATGGAATTCTCTACCCAATTTTATAAGGTTATGTAACTTCTCAGACTTCAAAAAGCACATCAGTAAAGCCAATTCATGAAACATGTAAATGACAATTTTATAATTAGCTAATAAAAGTCAATTGTAAATATGTAAATAGCAATTTATATTTTAATATTTCGTTATCAAATATTTTGTTCTCGGAAATATTAGCTTGTCAAGCTACTCTGAAATTTGAGCTTAAATAAAGTTTATGTATGTGTTCCGTATGTCCCAAGTTCGAAGGTCAGCAAAAAAGTTCAGTCTTTAGAACATACATTTTAATTTCCGAGGAGATAACCGTGTACACTTTTCAACATAGCCGACAACTCGCAACCTCGTGGTCGAACAACCGGTCNGCAAAAAAGTTCAGTCTTTAGAACATACATTTTAATTTCCGAGGAGATAACCGTGTACACTTTTCAACATAGCCGACAACTCGCAACCTCGTGGTCGAACAACCGGTCTTACTGCGTATGCGTGCAAAACTCCTACTAGGAGGGAGACCCCAGCAAATTGCTAATCTACAACAAGGCTTTCTGCGGAACATCCTCCCCTTCCTTTATAAGAAAATATCAACAAAATTGCACAAACAAAAAAAACACTATGAAAAAGAAAAAGGTTCGGTTTCAAAACTTCTTAGGTTAAAGTTCACGGTTCACTAGTAAGTCACTTAATATTCAACATTGTTCCAATGGGCAAAGTTTCACAACTGGTCTCCTGTACACCGTTTTTCCCACTTGAACATCGACGACTCGGACCCGGTCGACCTTTCCAGGAAGCACTTTGATGATGCGTCCCAGGGGCCATTTTCCTCTCGGGGTTTCTGTAGACATTACAATCACCACATCGCCAACTTTCAAATTAGGTTGATCCCTGCGCCACTTCTTTCTTGCACTCAAACTCGGAATCCACTCACGCAACCACCTATGCCAAAAGTGGCGAACAAGTTCCTGGACCAGACGCCACCTCTTTCTTGGGTTGAAGTCTTCAGTGTCAACACTGTCCGGTGCAAATCTTCCTCCTACTTGCCCATGAAGGAAATGGTTTGGGGTGAGAGGAACAAGGTCCGATGGGTCGGCTGATTGATAGGTTAGTGGCCGAGAGCTAATTAAGCCTTCTGCGCCAACAATTGCACTTAATAGTTCATCATCGGTGATATCCGCAGAACCCAAGACTGCATAAATGGCTTTCTTTGCCGCTTTGATCATGATTTCATGCACACCGCTGAAGTGCGGCCCAGCAGGCGGGTTAAAGTGCCAGTTGATTCTGTGGCTCGATGTTGTATCTTGGATCTTGTTCTGGTCTAAGGCTTCTAATTCTTTCAACTCATTACCTCCACCAACAAAGTTAGTTCCATTGTAGCAAACAACATCTTTGGGAACACCACGTCGTGACGTCATTCGAAAAAATGCATTTGGGAATGAATCAGTGTCAAGGCTATATGCTACTTCAAGATGCACAGCCCTAGTCTCTAGGCAGGTAAACAGACACAGATATCTCTTCTGGCGTGTCTTTCCTCTCCCCTGTTTGGTCATGAAAGGTCCACCAAAGTCAACAGATATGTGGCTGGATGCGCGAAGGGACTTTCGTGTGCGTAACTCTGGCAAAGGGGCCATGATTTGCTTAGTTGGAGAAGCCTTCCTTCTTCTACACTGCATGCATTCTCTTTCCCACTCTCTAATTGCTTCTCTTGCAGAAATTATCCAATACTGGACTGAAAGCTGCGCTAGTACTTGGTTGGTCCCTGCATGATGATCTTGCTCATGTGCATGCTTGACTATGAGCATTGTGACACAATGGCTACGAAGCAAGATGATGGGGTAACAGGTTTCCCATGGCAAACAGTAGGAATTAGCAAGGAGTGGCAGTGACCCCTTTATAGTTTTGCTCTTAGGAGTGTCTTAGGGACTTACCTCTTTTATACGATATTAGTGGTGGCTCT